CATCAGTTTTTCTGACAGTCCTTGCGAACCAAGGTGTCCTTGATGCTGTTCCAAAATTTCATCAGTTGCACGTATTCGGAGTAGTGCTTCGTGATGCTTCCGATGTACTTCAGTTTTATTCTCCTGATTATGTATTCTTGTTAAGTCGCCTTTCACCGCTTCGTTTTATACTTTAGTATTTTTTCAGCATTACTGTTATTCTGCAATATCTTTATCAAGGAGCTTATAATGCGTTGTTGATCTTCATCATATAACCATCGAATATGAGCGCTGTGTCTTTAAAAGGCAGCGTTTATAGCTTGATAGTCAATTGGCGGTGGTGCTCATATTTACGTAGAAAACCTGGTATATTTGGTAGTGATTTTTCACCCTAGGTAGTGCAAATGTTTTGAAATATACATAATCTACGTCATATAAATGTACAGTATTTTTTGATTATATTTGGTTTTATCAGACCATAAGGTGAATCGTTATTCGTGAATCTAAGCACTATTTATAAACATATCTTTTGCCTGCGTTGTAGAACTTTTTCAGTTATCTTGTAGTTGACGGTACTGATTTGCCTTTTAGACCATCTTTAAGTAATGGCTAATATGAACGATCATTCGGAGTACCAGTCGGCTCTTTGCTCTCGTTATTCCAGCAGGGAGATCCTACAGTTGTTTTCCGAAGAAAACAAGGTACTCCTTTGGCGCCAACTGTGGGTATGGCTTGCCGAGACCGAAATGGTAGGTCGACGATGCTTTGCTGAGGTTTAATTTCATGAATAATAGATTTTCAGGAATTAGGCCTTCATTCAATCATCTCCGAAGAACAGATCGAGCAGATGAAAGGAAAGATGCATGACATAGACTGGCAATTTGTAAAAAATGCCGAAAAACAAACCAGGCATGATGTCATGGCTCATATCCATGCGTTTGAGGCGGTTGCCCCGAAGGCGAAGGGCATCATTCATTTGGGCGCGACATCGGCTTTTGTCCAAGACAATGCTGTATATCGATTTTCGCAATTATTTGAAATTTACTTTTGTTCGTTCGTAGCCATTTGACATGAGATTATTAGTTCCTGAACAATCATAAACATTAAAATCGATTGTAATGATTAAATCTGAATAGACAGGAAAACCGCAATTAAGTAATCTCTTCGAAGATGCACAGAAACTAAGGCTTGTTTTGTTTTCCTTGTTGATTTAAGTTACTTGCCTTAGTAAGCTACGCATGAACCGCGTCATTGAGTGGGAACAGGGCAAAGTATAGCTGTGACGAGAGCAAGTGAATGCATTCACCAAATAATGCTTATTAGCCGTAATCATTAAAAAATGTTTGACTGGTGAATGGCCAAGCCAGAATTTCTTAAAGGTTCAAGGTCACTAACGACTTAATTATTTAATTGATCAGAGGTTAGAATCATGACCTGTAATATTCTGGGCATGAGAGGTCAGTCGATCATTAAAGTTCTCCACCATGACGCAATTCATATGGCAGTATTCGCCCTCTGTCTCAACGTATATCAGATGCGCAGAATTTCTGAAGCGTTTTTGAGTTCCATTAAACGTTTTTCAGACGTGGATGAGATCCGGTAATTCTTGTGTACTTTATATAATTTGTTGCATTATGTCCACTGTTCATTATATAAAGGGTATTTTGCACAGTTTTACGCCGCGTCTCCATAAAGCAAAGTTTATAATCTGTGGAATGTAGATTGCCCTCGCACCGCAGTAAGGAACCCAG